TCTACTCCCGTAAAGATTTACACCCTCGGAAACCCTGTACAGGGTCGCTATGGGTCGGAACCGACTCGACGGCACTTAACAACAACAACATCCTAAGGAGCTCTGGTAGCGTAGTGGTTATGAATCAGGCTGCGAACCTCAAGGTCAGCAGTTCGAAACTACCAGCTGTTTCGTGGAAGAAAGATGAGGCTTTCTGCTCCCGTAAAGATTTCCAGCCTCAGAAACCCTGTATAGGGGTCGCTATGAGTCGGAACCGGTGGAGTCAATCCTATGTAGGATATGTGATGCGATAGGATAATCACTGGACTGTTAACACAAGATTGGCAGTTCAAATCCACCAGCTGCTCCTTGGAAACCCAACACAGGGTGTCTGTGAATAGAAACTAACTCATCAGCACTTCACTCTCAGACCTTCCCTTCAAGAGCATTGTCTCCTGACCTTTGCTTCCCTAGTTCTGGGTTAACCTTTCAGAATGCAGCACTCTGAAACTTACGTACTTGGCTCAGAACCTTTTAGAATGCCTCATTACCCAGATAACCAATTCAAAACTCCTTAGTGCAGAGCATTTTGGAACTTCTACCATCAGGTTCCAAACTGTCTCTCTTGCCATACCTTCTCATCTAAGTACATGCCAGTCAAATGGAACTCCTTTTCCTATGTGATCATGAAAGCTCTTAAAGACCTTGTCAAAAATGTTCCTCCAGATAAGAAAGTCATACTTGGTTAGACTAAAAAAAAAAAAAAAAAAAATTGGGGGGGGGAGGGGCACATTGTTGAAAACTAGATAACATACACATACAATTTAGGCACCAAATTGGACTTCCATGTCTCTGTCTTATTTGACAAAAATGCATATTGTTGAGGATTGAAGCTTAAAGAGGAGCTTGATTAGTTTTACTGTTAAAATTTTTAAAAAATGAAAACAAAGGGAACTATATCTATGACAGTGGGTTGCTTCAGGTCTGCAAGTGGCTGGAATACCATTTGTATAGAGCCTGACATCAGCAGGGGAGGAGGCGGACAATGTGAACAGTGGGTGATTGTTATATTTTCTTGTTTCTTTGTGTCCCTTATCCTCAAGTTGCTACCTCCCCCTCATCCACTTCCTTTAAAAAAATGCCACTGTTAGTGAATTTTCTTTCTATGCTTCTACCAAGACATAATTAAAACTTCTTTTTTCCCCACAGTCAGCAGCAAAAGAATAAGAATTGTGTTTTTGTTTTCTGAGAACTATGTGTGCTGTAACTATCCAAAGCAAGGCATAACCAAGAATTGGGTTTTTCATATACTGAAAATAAAAATAAATTAAATGTATTCAGGTTAATATATCATTCCTACTCCCATAAAGATTTACAGCCTTGGAAACCCTATACAGGGTTGCTATGAGTAGGAACCAGCTCAACAGTACACAATCACCACCACCAGCCATAGATACCTTTATTTATTCTAGGCAAGTATTTTTTAAGTAGTTTTATCAAGAAAAAAATAGAAGGTACTCTGGTTGTAAATAATGTGGTAATCTTTTAATAAATATTATTAATTTTTAATAGTATAATTAACATTTTTATCAACCCTGTTCCAAAGGAGAAATTTTTACCTAAAGTATCCAAAATTAAAACTTTATTATGTGTAGAGGAATCCTGATGTGGTTCTTTAGAATAAGTACTGGACTGCAAGGTAGGTTTGAACCACAAGGTCCACGGTTCAAACTCACCAGCCACTCCTTAGAAACGCTATATAAGGTAACTGGGAGTAGGAATCAACTTAACAGCACATCACAACATGTGTAGAATGTGTCATAAAGAAAGACGTTTTTCTAAATTTATTACAATATCTGGAGGTAATGCTATGAGCAATTTTTTTAATTACAATATTTGGAGGTAATGCTATGAACAGTATGTATTTGAAAAGCAAAATAGTAGTCTTGATTTAGAAATAATCTATTTTAAATACAAATTATTCTTGCCTGTGTTTGCTTACTTGCCCAAAATGCAGTCCATTGATATAGGATTTTGCCTCTACAGATCTAAATGGGGATGAGTAGTTTCTTTGTTTGTCACCATGGATACAAATCAGCCTATCCTGAATTAGATCATACAGCATGATCAGTGTAACCTCATATCTGAGCAGGCTAAGCGTACAGCTCTGCTTGGCCTCTAGCTCTTTCTCCTTTGGAGCCCCAAGCAACCATGCAGGACCCACCTAGGAGACTCTCAGCAGTGAATTTCCTCAGCACTTTCATCCAAAGCCGGAGGCTCTCCACTTCAGACCCCTTCTTGTGGCTGCAGCGGCAGCAGCGCAGCAGCTGCATGACCAAGATGTTCTCACCGTCTTCCATTCAGGTGATGGTGGCTGTTGCAAAGGGAAAGCCAACTTTCCCTGAGAGAAAAAGTAAAGTGTGTTTTCTTACTATACATTGCCACACCACTGTATTTAAATTTAAGGAATGTGAATAGGCTGTGTTGTGTTTATACCTTTATAAACTTTGGCAGTTAAATCTGTGTTATGATTTTTACGGTTAATTCTTATGCTAAGAATTTTAGTGGATTTACGAGATTAAATGGTCTAATGTTTTGAGATTTTTATTTTAATTGTAGCTTGCCAAATGACTACTTTACAGTTATAATTATAGTTTCTTTCTCTTTATTACCAGTATAATGTGTGAAGATTAGTTTATGTAAATATTTTTAAATGTTAAGAAAAGGAAACAGTTTTATTCTTGACAGTATTGAAAGGAATTTAGAACAGGTTCATCCTGAGATAAAATAGAAATTCTGTTTTCCATGTTACTATTCCATTTAGGAAGTAGCATTTTGAATCTTCACTTCCTTGTATGTTCTAGGAAATTCAGGACGTCCAACACCAAAGTACACAAAAGTTGGGGAGCGTTTAAGGCATGTCATTCCTGGATACATGGCCTGTTCCATGGCATGTGGTGGTAAAGCCTGCAAGTATGAAAACCCAGCCCGCTGGAGTGATCAGGAACAAGCCATTAAGGGTGTCTACTCATCCTGGTAATTGACCTTGCCTAGTCATCCATATGGATCACATAATGCACATAATCACAGGCCACCACAATGCTAACTTAATGCTAAGTACAGTTAAGGAGTAATGCTGGGAGGCAGTGGAAGAAACAATGTAGGCAATTTCCAAGTCTGAGTATCTTGCCTTCAATCCAGATTTTGCCACTGTAGGTGTTGTGTGATCCTGGGTTTCTCACACAAGCACTCCTAACCATAATTTATTTGTCTTTAGCATGGAAATCAATCCAATCTCACAGGAGTTTATTTGCATTTGAAAATAAAGTGAAACAATGCATGTAAAGTGTCTTAAATGATTGGGTGATTAGATTGCTCTTAAATTTCAGAAATTGCTACAAATATTAAGAATGTTTCAATATAAATTTGAGAAATGATGAGGTAGGTAAGTAGTTTTTAATTTTTCTTTGGGTAGGCTTTTAGTCTCATTTTTATCTTGTTACTGTAGTAGATATAAAAAGAAAACATTTTTACACTAATATACATCTAGTCTACCCTAATGGAAATAGTCTAAATGATCAACCCAGTAGACAATAAAAGTTATCGTACATTGTTTATTGTTTGTAGGTAGATTTAGCATCAATATTCTGAGTCATCCTCATTTTTTTTATTATTTAATTGTAAGCATTCAAGTACAGGCAGATCTCAGATATCGTGCAGGGTTGGTCCCATACCACACTAAAGCAAGTCACATGAACTTTTTGGTTTCCCAGTAGATATAAAAGTATGCTTACACTGGTGTTGTAGTCTACTAAGTATGCTATTAGGAAAAAGTTTGAAATATTTTGAGATTTACCTAAATGTGACAGGCACAAAGTAAGCACATGCTGTTGGTTCTGATAGATTCTCTTGATGTGGGACTGCCAAAGACTTTCCATTTGTAAAAATTGTAGTAAGGTGAAGCAAAATTAAATGTGGTCTGATTGTATAGCGTTTTTTGGTGTGTTGACATCTCTGAAAAAAATTCTGATGAATCACACTTGAGATCCACTTAGCGGAATTCTTTGGTTAAAGAACTCTAGTAGTGAATCATTTTATATAGCAAGAATACATTTGGGTATTTGTTAACCAACTTAACTCTCTTGTAATCTGTGTTTTGACATGTTGAATTTAATGAGTACTTCTTCAGTGCTCTCTAATAGTTGGGGTCCACTGTCATTGTTCTGAGATCGATCGTATTATAGCTAATCATTGGCTTTCCTAAAAAATGGCATAAAGAAGAAAACAATTCCTGAAGTATAATCAGACAGTAAATTCCTAATAATACAGCTTAAGGTCACATGAATATTTTTGGTTTGTTCTCAACTAAACCTTTTAATTTCTTTCACCTCTGCTGCTTTTAAGTCACAGTAAGTACTACTTGGATTTGGAGTTAATCACACAGTGACCACAGCTAAGTCCCAGGTATTGTTTCAGGGGGAGTGTTATGCCCAGAATTCGGGGTCCCCAAAGACCACCCAGGAGCCGTGTACTGATGTAAATACATAAGGGTTGTTTATTCAAGCTCGAGCCAGGTCTCTAACCTTATCTGACGCAGCCGGAATAGGGAAAGAGCCCCGAACTTATTGTCTGCAGGGTTTTTATAGAGTTTTCAAACAGCTCAGGTTTCTC